ACTCTTGTGTGCTTGCGTATTTCCTGTGTGTGCAGGTACACGTGTGGGGGTGCTTGTGGAGGCCAGAGGTAAATCTCTAGTGTCATTTTAGGTGTCATCTGCCTTCTTTTGAGACAGTGTCTCCCACTGGCCTGGAGCTCCCCAGGAAGACTAGGATGGCCAGAGAGCCGCAGGGACCCACCTGTCTCTGCTTCTCCAGCACTGAGATTGCAAGTGTGTCCCACAGTCCCCAGCTGGCCAGGGCCAGCTCTCTACATCATCCCCTGGTAGAGGGCTCACAGGATTGCGTGTGCGTGGACTCAGTGCTATCCTCGGATTTTCTTGAAGCTGTGCAGGATGGATGTCTACCATGTAGTGATGCGTGATCAAGTGAGGGCCTCTACCTTGTCTTAAGATGGTGTCCTCACTGCGAGCTCATGTGGGGAAAGAGAGAAGTAAAATCCTCTGATTCTTAGATTAACAAGGATACTAACCTTGCCCTGGAGGCCCCACTTCAGGCCATCTGACCTAACATCCCACGGACCAGTCTCCAAACATCTCTCCATCTTGAATGCCTTAGGACCTAATCTCATTCACTTCCATCTGCCTGAGCTTGAACCTCAAGTCTGTTCAGGAAGAACACCTCAACAGCAGGGAAAAGCTCAGATATAGAAAACTTTGTTCAGAAAAGGTGTCTTCAAACCTCATTAAAATGGAAACATTGCCAGTGATTTCACAAAATCACCACATGCTGACATTATTTACATAAGGATGAAACCTTTACAAATAAGTCAAGATGCCAGCATGGCCAAGCACAGCTTGGAAAACTGGCCCAGGAGATGGGCTTCCGTAGCGTTAAGTTCTGAGACAGGAGGAGGCAGGGATACATCAGAACTTAACAGTCAGATTGTAAGACCAATTATTTCAGTGTGTGAAATATAATATATTTAGAACTAATTATAGAATCAAGTGAATGGGCATATATTATAATGAAATCAGCTTGGAAGGAACTGAAAAATCTTTATCAAAGACAATTGTTGGCACAAATTATAAATAAATAAATGATTCAACAGATGATAGATATTTAGGTAGAGACGAATGAAAAATGGAAAGTTGATAGATGGTGAGATTGGCAGATGACACAGATGGATGATACATGATTACTAGTGTAGTGAAGACTATGCTTTAGTGTTTCACATGTCTTTTCACCACAGCTGCACGAGGGAGGGCCCATGCCGATCGTCTTAGCATGTGTTAGGATACCTTGCCACAGGCTGCATTGCAGAGCCCGCAGGAGCCCTCTGTCCCCCACAGGCCCCCCTCTGTCCCTCAAAGGCCCCCCTCTATTCCCCACAGGCCCCCTCTGTCCCTCAAAGGCCCCCCTCTGACCCCCACAGGCCTCCCTCTGTCCCTCACAGGTCCCCTCTGTCCCTCACAGGTCCCCTCTGTCCCTCACAGGTCCCCTCTGTCCCCCACAGGCCCCAGTGCAGAGCCCGCAGGTCGCCCTCTGTCTCAGCTCAGTTTCATTTCTCTCCCTCTTTAATCACTTACTTGAACAAGGCAGTAATCCATTCCCTCCAATTCTACTCATTTTATAAAACACAGAATTAGCATGATTTTAATCACCTTGATTCACAGAATCATATGATCCATGTTCTGTTTCAGCCCTGTCTTTGATTGACATCTTGTGCGGGTGTTCAGTCACATTAACCCCACGACTCTGACTTGTTCAGCCACAACTGGAATTGTCACCAGGTCCCTAGAGGACCTGGCCTCTCTGACTTCACTGTGCTTATTAACGTAGAGGGCTGTGGGCAGAAAGGCTGCTTCGACCACACACAGATGTTACACAGCACTGCGTCCTGTCCATGTGGCACAACACACTGTGAGGGCTGACAGGAGCAGGTACTCTGGAACTCAACCTAGATCTCAAGGTGTGGTGCCTCTCAGTGCTTGGACCTGGGGCCAGAGAGGGCAGGATGTTGTCTTAATGCTCTTGGTATAGACTTTGCTCAGTTAAGCACTTTAGATTGAATCCCTTTGACTGCTCTGAATGAAGGGGACATGGTCTCCTGAATCTGGTAGACCAGATTCTGCTTCTGCAGTGCCCACGGGGGTGGGGTGCGTGATCACAGAACAGACTCGACTCTTGGAAGCAGGACTACAAAATGGCTCTGCTACTCCTTTCAATCAAAGACTTTTCCTTCCCGGAAAGCTTTACAGTAGATATCTTGTCTTTCAAAGAACCTGAATATTGCTGGTTGTCTGTCCTCTACATATCCCTTCCTGTGGTGGCATGCACAGAGAGGAGTTGTGTCCTTGAGAGCGCTGTGATGCACTGGACTGGGGATGCTGCTGGCCACAGCTTAGGTGCCGTGAACAGTGCTATCCCTGCAGGCTTAGGATGGGGCATTATCTGCACCCAGGGACCCCTGAGCTGGACCTGCATTTGGAGTGAGCATCTGGCATGTGGTTATTCTCAGAGCCCAGGTCAGAGACTGCACCACCTTGAGGGTCTCTTACAGTCTGTGTCCTTTGTTGCTGTTAAGTTCATTAACTGCAAGCCCAAGTAACAATTCCTGGTAACCTGAAGAAAGACAGTTATGGACATGCAGAAGCCACCTCTATGATCATGAAAAATACTGCAGTGTCCCAGTTAACCCAGCACATGCCCATCACCCTGGTCTGGTGCAGGAGGATCATAGTGATCCACACTCACCTAAGCTGTCATCAAGGGAAGAGATTTCCAAGGAAGAGATGGATGTTAAAAGCCACCAAGACGGGCATGTCAGGTGTCCAGAGCTGCTCATCTTATCCTGCTCAACTCTGTCCCATTTCATAAGTCAAATGACGGTAACCCAGTAACCATATGAAAGCACTCCCACAGAGGCAGGGTGCAGCCAGGCAGTACCAATTCTCTAAGCCTGTGGCGTCCAGCAGAGTGTGGTCCCACTTTATTCAGTAGTAGGTACCAATCTGATTGTACTTCAGAAAAGTACAGGCTATGTGTTCAGAGCTGCCAAGGCACTTTTCAAGCTCAATAGCTGAAGCTCCACCTTGTGCAGAGTGTCCTGCCCATAAAGCCCATTCCAGAAGTAGGAGGGTGCATGCTAACTCACACGCAGCTTCCAGGAGGCATGAGTAGAAAACTAAGTGAAAAGTAAAGCTCTCGCATGCTCTCCCTGAAAGAGCCACAGGACACTGGCAGAGCTGCACAACTCCAACTTCAGTTAACTAACCTGGAGAGCACATTGTGGGAGGGAATTCTAGGGGATACGGAACCAAACAGCACAGGACATCCGTTCCTCAGGTTCCTCATTTGTAGTAACCACCAGCTAAAAGGAGGAAAGATTTATAGGTTGAGTGACAGAAACAGCAGAAAAAATTAATTGCAAAGCAAGGGAACCATGATGATTTTAACATGATCTATTTGGTGAAAAGTAAGAATGTCATAGCAAGAGACATTTAACTTTAGCAGTGCCAGTGTCACATGTGTGTCTGTGAGTGAATTAACGTCTCCGAATTCTAGCTTCTTCACCTAACATTGGAACAGCAAAGCCTACTTCACTGGATCACGAGTGTCATTAAGCATCTGACCGACCCTCAGTCATTGCAACCACAAGCCAGGGAGTCCAGGATATCCGAGCTGTGTGACCAAGAAGCCAGCGTGGAGACATGCTGTGTTATGGCCACTCGCTCTGTGATAACTTGGCTCCCAGGGGGATGGTTGCATCCTCCTACTTTCCTGCCAGACATTCGGCCAGGACACAAGTGAGGACTTGGTGTTGATCTCTGCTCTGTCTCAGCCCAGGAGTCCAGAGCCAAACCTGCCTCTGTCTGTGAC